GGTTGCTATTGATGGTAAAAAAAAAAAAAAAAAAAAAAAAAAAAAAAACATGGCCAAGACCAAAATGGCTAAACATGGTAATGGCTTACCATGATGTTGATGGTGTTTAATGTTTGTGTGAATGACACTCTGGAGCTTCTTTATATAAATAGCTATTAACCTTCTTATGGAAGACTAGTTTTGATGAGCTTTGATTGATCATGTGACTCATCACTGCTGCACAAATGGTTAGTAAATCAACATTTCATCAGATAATGAAAAAAAAACTGTTTATTACTGTAAAGTTTAAGTTAAATCTATAAAAACATTAACGTTCCTACCGCATTTTTAACCGTAAAGTTATGGCGACCACAGCTGCCAGTTTTTTTACCGTAAAAATTACGGTTTTATTTTTTACAGTGTATTAGCTAGCTTGTGGTTGACATTTTCTATTTTATCTAATGTTTGCTTGGTCAACAAAATAAAAGTTGCAATATAAAGTATATATTGTCTCTGTTGGGCATAAACCTTGTACCTCCAATTTGTTTTTGTGGTCATAAATCAATGCTTTCGGTCACATAAGTCATCGTGTGGTGGTGTTCTGGTGCACTATGGCTGCTGTCGTATCATCCGGGTGGATGCTGCACATTTGTGGTGGGGAGATCCCCCTACACTGGCACTACACTCCAGTTCAATTTCAGTGTGTGACAAATAAACATATTTCAGTGTTACAGTAAATGTGTTAATCTAAATAACTGTGACATTGGTTATTTTAACAAAAAGTTTTCTTTATTCTTGTGTGTAAACTTGATGTATTAACACAAAACCTAAAAAAAATATTTTAAATGTTCAAAAATCATGAAATTTATAGATCATGAAATATTAAACGCTCATATAAAGTGATTTCAAAAGGTGAAAAAAAAAGCCAAGCCATCCATGAAATAACATAGGAAATGAAAACGGGTCTTTTTAGACCCATGTTGTGCATTAGGAGGAGTATTGCATTTGCACCAAAGGGTTAAAAAAAAAAAAAAACACTAAATATTTTGCCAGTTTTGGCTTGGCCTCCTTTTTACACCCAGGAGTATATGCATTTGTTGAAGCCACCAGCCTGTATCCTTCCAATTTTTTTTTAAAAATTATGTTCAACAGCACAATTCCATGTGAAAAACATTCATTATTCTGCAAAGAATCAAATAATTCTCTACCAATCAGAGAATCACAACAAACTAATAATGATAAAAGACCTCTTTAGCACTCTCTACACTCTCAGCCAGCTCCTTGTTTCCTGTCTGCCATTATTGGACAAATTGATTAATTCAGGTGTGCCTGATTATTGTTGCCGTGACTACTGAGGTCAGACACCTGAATTAATCAATTTGTCCAATAATGGCAGACAGGAAACAAGGAGCTGGCTGAAGTTCAGGAAGTAGTGCAGCTGGGCATAAAGCCAATTGTAGCTCTCTCTCATTCAAGCCACAAAGCACTTTTACCTTTAGACAGATTTTTAAATACTTTTTTGTTTCAAGTTTATGAATCACCTGGTAGCTGGTTGGTTTGGCTGATGCCTGATAGCTTAACTCTTTAACAAAGACTTTTCAAATGTCCCAATGGGAAAATTCTTCAGAAACCGAGGCCGCAGAAAATGTATTACACTGTAGCACTCAATGACAGTTAACGAATCGGAAGTCTTGCGCTTTCATAGACAACAGCTTCTGAGTTGAAAATAAGGTGGCTAGAGGTTTCCTGAGAGGAGGAAAAACCCCCAGTAAATTCACTTCATGGTGTGAATCCTTCATTCCCCTCCTGGAATATAGCGAGATAACATTTCAAACACAAGCACGTCATTGTGTTAACATCAAACTTTAGCAATCCTTTATTGAGGAGAACAGATCATATTCACTGTTTGCTACTGAAACATCACAACATCATACTGGGGACGTTCATTACATGGGCTTGTCGGGTGGTTAGAAAGAATCAGAGAGAAATAGAGGAGCAAGAGAATTTGATCACACTCTCAAATACAAAGGACAGTAGTTTCCCCCTCCGGTGAAAACCCTCACTTCTCAAGCCAACAGACTTGGAATAAATAAAATACTTTGTTTCAATTCTAATTCTTCAACAATAACTGTTGATATACACAATGCAAATGAATGTCCTTGAGCACTCACGGCACAAAATATATCTCTTTACCATCTCAAACTGGAAAAAGAATCAATCTATTCATTTTAAAATTAAGCTTTCCAGCATATGGCTACAAATGATGTGTACCAGAAGAGGGGAAAACTGCAAAAATATATATACATACATAAACAATCATCTCATAAAATTCATTTACACACTCATTTTAAAGCTACACACCAGAGCAGGTGAAGTCAATGAATAAAAAAAAAAGGGAGGAAGAAAAGAAGGCCTCCAAAGCATGTCTGTCTGTGTGCAGAAAAAAAAACAAAAAAACGTACGTGAAGTAAATGGAGTAAGAACGTGAACGTATACGATGAAGCTGATCAAACGATAAATGTACATATGAAAGTGTTATGCTTGAGCATGTACACGTGTATCAGTGTGAATAAGGGGTACATTCATCCATAGCCGACTGTCCTGTAAGTACACCCTTACAGCATGATTCACCTTTTACAGGCACGGTTCAAAAACAATCCTACATAAAGGATTAGCAAAAAAAATTATTTTAAAAATCAGAACCACTCATAATGAATATTCAAGTACCTATCAGCCAGTCTGAGGAGAGAGCATCCCCTCCCACGAAAAAAAATATATATAGCTATATACACATACATATTTCTGCAGTTTCACTTTAGAAATACTCTACCTTCTCATAGTTTCTCTTTCATATAGTTTAGTATTTTTTTGTTTTTCGTAAGCAAACGTGAGTGCAATCAAACAAACACCAATTACGCCATATAATCTGTAATAAAAAGAAAAAATTAAAAAAATGCCGAGTCAAAGTGATAGAGGGGGTAACTATTCTAAATTCAAGAATTTTGTTAGAGAAAACCACAAACCAGAACTCAAGCTGATGGGAGAAACTCAGTGGGGAGAGAGCTGGGGATGAAGAGTACGGAGCAGAAGACGACGAGGTCAGTTTTTATGTACTGTCTCTGGGGCGACTGAAAGGAAGTCACCATGAAAAGCTCCTCCAAATAAAGTTCTCTCCAATCGGGCTCTTCCATTATCTCCTGCCGTCAAAATGAGTGTCCTTTTATTTTATTTTTTTGTACGTTTTCTTGTTAAACAGCAAGCACCAAAATGAATGACACAAGAAGAAATTCGCCTCTGCCCCAAAAAGAGAAAAAGAAAAATCCACAACAGATACATTATATTTTCAGTGGCTGCTGTCCAGCTGGTCGGGTAAGAGTCGCAGGGTAAAATTAGAGGGCGGCAGAGATCATGCCTCCAAAAAAAGCTGCACATGCGCGGTGTGAAGGGGTTAAAAGTCAGCCTTCTGAACGAGGGTCCCTGTCCCTCTCAGAGCTCGCTGGCCCCGTCCTCCTCCAGCTGAGTTCATGCCTCCAAATAAGCATCCAGCAACTTTTGCTCCGGCAGTCTCGTCACTGCTCGTCATCGACACGGATTTCAAGAGGGGGGGGTGGGGAGGGGAGTAAAAATAAATCTCTCTACCATACAATGCAGTTTAAAAAAAAAAGAAAAATATCATCTTAACATTTTTGTAGTTTTCTCATCTTTAAAAACAAGCGTTATGTATTCCCAGACTCGTCGTTTAACATTTCCTATGACGCTCTCCGAATCGAAACCAAAAAAAGTGTGTGAGCAAGGGTTTTCTTGTGTGAACTGAGGACATTCTCATGTGGATTCAGAAGCCGTCGGCTGCTTCGGCTACCAGGGGTCGTCCAGGTCACCTCCGCTCTGAAACGGATGAAAACAAGAAAGGGAAAGAAATGAGCAAACAGAGTAAAATTAAAAGGGTAGAGCACTCGCTAGTGAGAATCGGGAAAGTAAAAAAAAAAAAAACAGAATGAAATGTGTGAGGATGTGAAAGACAAAAACAGGAGAGAAAGGAAGATTTATCAATGTTTGACTACCCACCAAGTAGTTTTACATACTTCTGATAGAAAATACACTACTGTTCAAAAGTTTCAGGTCAGTAATTATTATTATTATTTTTTTAATAATAGTTTTATTATTACAAGGATGCATTAAACTGGTCAAAAGTGACAGTAAAGACATTTATAAATGTTAAAATTAATCCATTTCAAAATAATGCTGTTCTTTGGACATTTATATTCATCAAAAACACTAAAACAATAACCTGTAAATTGATAGCAACAAATCAGCATATTATAATGATTTTTGAAGGATCATAAAAACTGAACCAATGGACTTTGCCATCAAAGGAATAAAATTACATTTTAAACTAACAATTTCACAGTATTATTTGTTTGATCAAATAAATGCATCCTACGTTACATTAATAATCAATTCATTAACAAATACAGACCTCAAACTTTTCAACAGTAAGTGTAGGTGCCTTACAGGTGACTCCAATGTAGGCAGAGGACAAAAAACACAAACACCCAACATAAAAACTGCATAAAACCAAAATAGGTGTCGTAGATTTCAATCATAAAAAGGGAGAAAAAAAGATGAAACAAAACTCAAACATAATAATGATAAAAGCTAATGAAAATATAAAACAATCACAAACAAATGGGCGGAAAAAGACCTGCAAGACACAGCCAGCATTTATTTATGGATTTAAAGATGCATTTTCATTTCCATCTGAAAAGAAATCATATGTTCCCCAGCCTAAAGACTGATTTATGCACATTTGAAGCTCACTTACCTCAAGCCTCAAACTTCCACTGAGCTCATAAGAACATTAGCCTTATAGGAGTACATATGGAAATATCGAAGTGTGAATGATAGTTATTAGCGCACAAGTTCTTACAAGAGCCATACAAAGCATTAATGTGATTGTATCTGCATTCTGTGTCACAGAATGAGAAATTATGACATGTAATAAATGGCAGCCAAGACATACATCAATAGTTATAGAATATGATTTATTTTGTTCAAAAGAACTTCAGAGTGAAACAAAACAAATATAAACCTTTGCCCTGGAAATACTGCTTAAGGGACAATTAAGTAAAGCTCTTTGATACTGCTGAGGGGGTATATTAGTAACATGAGTTGAATATAACAATGGCAGCATTATGCATGCACTCACTCTAACTGTTAAGAAGATTACACAGTTTGTATTATGCATTAACTTCCAAATCAGCAAAGTAATCAGCTTCAAATGGCTTGATAAATCAGCCAAAGAAAACACATCACAAAAGCAGTTTGGAACAGATTTCTTGCGATATGACACACAATCCATGTGGACAGAAACTTGCTTTCCAAAAACCTGGGTCATAAAAATAAGATAAGTGCAAAAAGAAGCACTGTGCAAATACTGCAGAGTACAGACATTCATGATCATGTAGCAGCGTTGCCTAACTTGAAGATTGCACTCCTATATGTAATGCAGTCCACTTTTATATTGCAAATGTAATATGCACAACAGGACAAATGAGAGTTCGCAAGAACGTGATTGTGTAAGCTTCTGTTAGGTCTCATATGGTCCATGCTTATAAACCAGTGCATTTCCATTTTGTGCTTTTTCCTCAAGGACACACTCGGATAACTGTGAACACTCAAAGAGCAGACACAGGACAATCATATTCAAGAGGTCAGCTCAAGTTATAAACCGATATGAATGAGATATGGAGAGAGCAGATAAACACACACACCGCTTTAGAGTTCCATTTTAAATGGTGAAAGAATTGCTTTTGATCAGTTAATCATTTTGCATAATAGTATTTCAAACATTTGATTCACACACACACACACACACACACAAGATCAAGAGCACAATTAAAGCTGTAACTGATCTTTAACTACAGTACGTTAATATCCTATAACTATGATCAACCACGAGACAACCCAGGAAAAAGGAGTACACATGCATTGCATGGCACGAGAGCAAACAGTTGTGTGTATTCTTGGCACAACCCAGATTGTCCCCTCTTACAACTACTTGCATAAGTAAACTCTTTGGGTTTGAAACAGTGATGGTCAAATCATTCAGTTTTCAAATTTCCTTAAAGGGACAGTGCACCCAAAAATGTTAACTTTCTTCTGCAGAACACAAAAAATATATATTTTTTTAAAAGAATAGTTTTACTCTATGCAATGAAAGACAAAAACGATGTCAAAAACATGACTTTCATTATGAGGACAAAACAAAACCACACACAACAAAACTAGACAAAACTAAAAAATGAAAACATTTTCCAAAATTTTTATTTTGTGTTCCATAGAAGTCATTTGGAATGACATTGAGAGTGAGTAAATGACAATTTTGACATTAGGATGAATTATCCCCCTTCAACAGATTACTCATCCGGGTCTAATTTTAAAAACACTAGGCTAAGTGCAGAGATACGAGAAAGTGCTTACTGCAGACAGAGCTGGGATATGCCAAGGTCAACCTCACTTGCAGTTGCAGAGCAGGTTTTTAGTGATAAGAATTTTGCGCAAAACTTCCTCTGTAAGCGACTTTTACCGTGAACAAACTAAACAAAAACACCCAAGGTGCCATTTCAAATCCACAAAGACAACCAAAAACCTGCTCTGAAACTGATCAGTTTGGGGAACATTGCCAAAAGCAACCTAGCAATCTGGGGAAAAGGGTTTGATAGCAGGGCTGGGTTTAGTGGATCCTAATCAGGGTCATGCAGTGGGGGCGTCAGAGAGCTTGTCCAGAGATGGTGACGTGGAGGCTTCGTCCTGCCCCTCCTCAGAGCCGAGGGGTTCAGTGGCCGGGGACGGTGGGGGAGAGCGAGGTTCCTCCTGAGGGTCGGTCCGTGTCGTGGCACCTGTCCCGCAGGACAGTCGGTAACTGGAGAGCGCCTGCTCCAGCACGTGGCGGTATTCGCCTCGGTGGCTGAGCCGGAACTGTCGTAGCGCATCCAGCAGTTGGGCGGTAGCAGAGCCACCTTCTTCCTCCTCACCGCCGGCTGCTCCCCCCTGGCTGTCCTGGTGCAAGACGCCAGTGTCAGTGGACAGAGCAGGTTAAGAGACCCCGCTTAGAGCGGGCCACCTGCCCATGACCTTACACTGCCCTTTCATTTAGAAAGAAGCACACTTGAGGAGCGACAAAATAAGTGGTGGCCAATGCGTGTTCGTTTGTGTGTGAGTGTACAAAAGATGCAGGAGCTTGCCAACACGGGTCTTTTCTCACAAGTCTTAGAGGCAATAAACTTGCTGAAGTAGCATTACCAAGATGCGACCACACAAATACAAACGGTTACAGAGTGGCACAGGCACAGACGGACAAACAAAGCCAAGGCCTGCAAAAGAGCCTTGCATTTACATCTTAAATGCAGAGGCAGTGCTCTTAAAGATAGTGGTGTTTGGATGTTTAACCTGCCCTATATATATATAAAGCTATCGCTGAGTACCAGTTACACTTGCCTAAGTAGGACGTTTGCTAAGCACTTACTAAATGTATCATTTCTTAAAATGATCGAGGGAGTAAATGTATGCACAAAAAAAGATAGCATCAGCTAGAACTACATTAAAGTCAAAATATTTGCTGGTGTGTGCATTAAGATGATGAGTAAATGAATGGACTTAAGTCTAAGCAAGAAGACTCAAGTGACCTTTTGTTTTGAATTCTTATGAGAACAAAAAAGTAAGGGAAAAAAACACTCACCCCATCTTCTTCTCTGTGTGGGTTTAGCCTGTTGTAAACAGCTTCAATTACACTACGTCTGGAAGAGAAGAGACAGATTAGACAGAACTCTAAAACCCTAAGGAAGACTATTATTTGGTTTACAGCAAAACCTCAATGTTTAAATTTAGAATAAATCACTATCTGTAAAGACATTACGCATTGCAATATTTTTACTTGACTCCGATATATTGATATTTTATTTACAGCTGTATTCTCACACCAATAATCAATATCTTAAGTTAATTTCCACATTAAAATAATTTGGTATGCTATGTTATATTATATAACAGCAACATTATAAAATATTTTCAAATTTAAAGTTTAATTAATATAAAATTGTGAATGATAACATTAGGCCAATAATTACTTTCATGGTATGGACAACAATGGGCTCTATGCACGGCGTTATTTCCGGTGAAGGATTAAGGATGCTCGATAACTTCCGCCGATCATAGAGTCCAATGCAATACCGAGAATTTATATTGAATTTTTATACTCCATGGTTATACTAAAGAAACGTTAGTCACAAAAACAGATAAAACAGACACCCCTCGTTGTGTTTATGCTTCTTTTTAAAATTATATTAAATAAACATAACTATATATAAAATTACATCTAAACGTATGTACGTTTCGTTTCAAAGACGAGAGGACAGTAAATATTGAAGACTGCCATAATCCCGTTTTCTCCGGTTTTCCTCCGCTTTAATCTCCACAACCGGAAATGGACGAGCATCCTTACGTCAAATGCGGAACTTATGCGTGCATATAGCCCATTGCTAGATGGTTCAAATTTTATCATTTTGAATGATGCAAGTGAATGTAAGTATCACAATACCATATGTCTAACATGTTTACAATAAGAATGGAAGAGAGAGGCCGCACTTTGCATATACAGTTTTATTATACACGTGTATACATGTGTATAATAAAACTGTATATGCAAAGTGCGGCCTCTCTCTTCCATACATGCATTATCATTATTAGGCCAGCACTCTTAAAACAATTTGAGATATAAACTTTGAGTGAAGCCTGCTCCAACCTCCATTTATACAATAAGAATGGAAAATGGATAATCATTTAGACATTTGCACGAGATTAAGGATTAAAATATTAATCTAAAATGTAAAAACAGAAAGATCTTGGATCTTGGGCCAAAATGCCTCAATATTGCATCACCTAATAGAAAAGTAGGCCAAATACAAAACGGCTCTGATCAGCAGAAATGGACAAACGTTACTTAAATTTGGATCCGTACTTGCTAGCGAGACCACCTCCTGGTGGCAGGTTGGGGATGCTCTCAGGGCGAAGGTTATGCATGATGTGGCTTAGATCTGGGATGCCTTCCTCCCCAGACTTCTCCATGATTTCTGCAGAGAAAGACAATTACATTACAAATGTGGGATAATGGAAGAGTGTGATAATGGAAGGCTGGAGCATTTCTTCCATCATGACTACTGCTGAGAAAATGGTTATAGGCATGGGATCAGCCATCCCACTTATAGACAGAGTGTGAGAAAAATAACATCCAGCTGGAGAAAGAACGCCAAACAGGTTCCATCACAGCTGTCCTGACTACATCTCTAATGGAAAATACAAGAGTTCTTTCAGAATTAATATATTCCCCATCCAGAAAAGTCCCTACGAGCCTCCAGATGGTTCAAAACAGGCCAGGATGTTGACGGAGAAGAAACAGAGGGAGAAGAGAGAGAGCAATCTAAACAGAACATTTTCAAACCACTGACACAAAGGTCTTGGCATTAGGACTTTTTGAATTACAAGATGGCCATTTCCACAACACTCGATGGACAACGCACAAAACTGGCTGACAAATGAACAGGTGCCACCTCTTACCTTCCACACGAGCCTCCAGGAATTTGTCCAACTCAGCTTCTCTTTTGACAGCCTCCTCTGATACTTTCGGGGCATTGGGAAAACATACTAGAACAACACTCATGTTGTCTCGGCTTCCCTGGTTAGAAAAAAATAAGAATAGATAGTAGGTTAAAGAAAAGGCAGTTCCCTTGACAAGTCCAACCTGTTGAGCAAGTGTTTATAACACCACCAGCTTCTATGGTTAACCACTATATCTAGACCGCTTCCAATTTTGCAAATATTTTCCTCGGATGGAAATTTGTAATCTATTCATACTTAGACACTAAGCAGACCATTTTAGAGAAAAATCATTCAAGTGGAGTGGGGGGAGCTTAGTTTCCAATGATACATGCCATACATCATAAAAAGGTATGAAGAAGGTTACAGCCCTGACATCATCTTGAGCAAATCCATGCCAGATCCAGAGCTGTGACCTCACTCACAAGGTCCCTGGCTCTGTTTGATCATCTGGAGAGCTGGTGTCAACAAGCAGAAGGCTCAAGTGTTTTTCGAAAAGGGAATTGGAGGGGTTTTGGATTATTGAATGCCATGAGACAAAAAAAAAAGTATATGCAAATGTATATGCTTAAATGCAGCATGGAAAAGGGAAGTGGGGATTGTTCATAAAATCATGAGTTACACACAGCTGGTTTGTCTAATGAGACTAGCGGGACTAATGTTTACGTAAAGACTCAATGATTCAACTTCATAAAGCTGTACATCTAATGAAAAACAGAACAAAGACAAAAAAGGTATGAAATTAGGGTAAACAGGTTAAGAAAAAAAAAAAAAAAAAACACCCGAAAATGCCATTTACTCTATTTGACACAAAGCAAACAGTGCAAACCATGATGAAATTCAAGGACAGCTTCTCCCCCAGAGCCATAACCATCATGAACTCCTCCATCACACCGCCACAGACTTGAGCAGCAAAGAAGCTCTGGCCACCCTGTCAAGGATGCTTGTCAAAAAGTACTGGGAAGCTTGTTGACGCTTTGAACACTCTTGACATTGCAGGGAGAAGAGAAGCGTCACAACATGAAATGTAAAAAACAGAAAAACCAAGCAAAATATTGAAGAAAACATTTATAATGACAGCCTTTTTATAACCAATTTGTTCGGGAAAAAAAGAACTAACTATTATTATTATTAGTATTATTATTTGCATCAGTGCAATTGGTCAAATCGGTGTCACGAGCGTTAAACGAGCATTTCAAGATTTCAAAAAAGTTGCGTTCATTCTCAGATGGATCATTATGTATGAACACGAAGTTGTTGTGTTCGGTGCTGCTTTATTGTATTTGCGAAGACGACGTTGGTTTTTGGGTTCATGACTTTCATGTCCAGGAGTTTTAACTAAATGCAAACAACGTCATTATAAATGATAGGAAACCCAGTAACAGTGATGATTAGCTTCTCCTCCTTTTCTCTGAACTAATGTTTTGGTAGGAACAAAAGTTTACATTGTATGTTTCTCCAGAATCAGCAAGCACGAAGGACGCCTATATATTCCAATTGGTTGCTGGCGTTTTTCCGCTGCATGTTGCTGAACTGAATCATAGCTCATTACCATAAAGTTGAGCTGCTTTAAACTTTCTAGTTGACGCTTAAAATGCGACGCCGATGGATATGAAGCTCCTTGCAGCTGAGAGAAGCCAGCTTCCATTGAAAATGAATGACTTCCGGCCGCTTTGGAAGCTCAAGTAGGCGGCAGTGTGAACTTAAGAGTTATATGCACTGATCCCTCTCTGCTACATACATACAAACATACAGTCTCAGGGTGCTATTTTTTTCCAGTTTTCACTTTGCAAAAAAAAGATAAGAAAATGGTTTAGAGCAATATATTCTGTTTGTATTCTGTAAATATTAGTGCAATATTTAAATTTGACTACTATTTTTGTGATATACGTTTAATATTTGTCGTATGAAATAGTTTTTGTTGGTTGTATCATTTTTCTGGCAGCAACGGAAGCACTTACTAACTTATTTGTATGAGAGTATGATGGCAATAAAGGCTTTCTATTCTATGGCCAATATTTAAACAAATGACAGATTGTCAACAGTTTTATTAAGTCAGTCAACAAAAAAAGATTCAAATAACAGAAGTTTGAATAGTGGCGCTAAATGATGTCCGATTAGAGAGAGAAAAAAAAACTACTTGTCTGAACAGTTAAAAAGATGCAAATGCAAAATAGTCAGTGCATTATTCAGAGCCACAACTGACCAATTAGAAATTAAATGAACGTTACCATGAGACTTACAAATAATGTAATTGCTGACTGGCTGGTCATTTGATAATGTGTCATTAAAAACATACATAACATTGTTTTGTGGTAAAAAAATTTTTTTTTTTTTTTTTTAATTAATTAACACCTACTCATGGATGGATTAACCTGCTTATACCATGTTCACATTGCCAGCAATGGCAAAGAGACCTTGTGTAAATTACCTACTACATCTGTGCAGCGTTTCTCTACTAACAATGAAGCTGTGAGTTTAATTACTTTAAAAACAGCAATCTTACCACCTTGTTGCTGAAATAATATTTAGTTATTCAGTAGCGAAACTACTTTAGTCGTGAAACAGTATTGACAAACAATTATTTGTGCTCCTAAATGTTTTTTGTGTGTGCGCAAGTGCAATTAAGGTTAATGCACGCTTACCAGCCAAAAAAAAAAAAAAAAACACATTCAGATTATGGTATAAAATTAAATATTTCATTAAAAAATATTGTTGTAATTTTAAATTGAAACATGGTGTTATATTCTTCTAAAACAGTCATATTGTTATGTCTCAACATCTGTTGTGATTCTCACCTTATGTAAACAGGTGTCCACCACAGAGTTGCAGATCTTCTCCAAATCATCCCACACCTCCAGCCGAGACCGTACAAAATCACACAGCTCCTCATTAGTCATCACATCCCAGATACCATCGCAGGCGAGCACCACAAATTCATCCTCATCTGGAACGCGTGGGATTTCGTACACCTCTGGTTCCGGAGATACCAGCTGCTCAGTGGGGCCCTTTCCATCCACACACTTGTAGTCATAGTCCCCCAGTGCGCGAGACACTGCCAGAGAACCATTCACCCTTTGGATCATCACAGAACCTCCTGCGTTCTGAATGCGCTCTTTCTCACGTGGATTGCACGGCTTGTGGTCTTGTGTGGAGAACCGGACCTGTCCGGCACGACTTAGCACGGCACGCGAGTCTCCGCAGTTGATGAAATAGAGGTGCTCAGGGGACACCAGCACGCCAACCGCCGTGGAGCCACTACGGTCCATGCCGTTACGTAGATCCGAGAAGTTGCGCATGTACTCGTCGATCTTCAGGAAGCCGGAACGAATGCCGACTTTAACACCCTCCACAGAGTCGGGGCCAGAACGGAAGTCCTCGCTGCTGGTTATGATGTGCTCCAGCAGGTGTTTGGAGCAATAGTTGGCCACGCGGGAGCCAGCGTGACCGTCGTACACCGCGAAGAAGGACCAGTCGTCCAGGCCGTGAGGCAGACCCACTGCGGCCGTGTGTGCATCCTCCATCTCTACCCGCCAGCCCTGCATGCTACTCAGGCCAAAGAGCAGGCCGTTGCCCGCCCCATGAGCATTGTGTTTCTCGGTCTTCGGTTTGTCCAAGAAGGCCCCCATGGCTCAGGACACCGTCTACAAAAGAAAAAATAATGCGTAGTTGCTTTGCATGTCAAAAAGCATTGTATGATGCTGAAGTGTTACAACAGCAAAGAGCATTTTGAGAGGTTAAATGCATAGTTACCAAAAAAATGAAAATAGGCACTGTTCACCTCATGTGAGGCACTGTGAGGCACTACTTCGCCTCATGTCATTCCATTAAAACTTTGGTTAATCGTCAAAAAAATGAACGGTTTATTTAAAAACATATCTTAATCAGTGTTTTCAAAAGATGCCGTAAGATGAGTAAATAATGCTAAAATTTAAATTTTTTGGGTGAACTAGTCTAATCCTTAAACAATATCATGCTATTTTATACTAAATATGTTACTGGCAATTTAATCTACAAACACTAGTTGGGCTCTTTTAGGACATCAGCCAAACAAACACTTGAGCACACCAGCAAAGCCGTTGCACTGACGACAATGGTCTTTAGAATTACACAGTCATCAACGTATGAAACTGACAACTGCCTACAGAGTTAATGACAGATCTTGATGTGATCTAAAGTCTACTGTAAAAGCAGATATGAAGATAATAAACTGCCAAAAGCTCATCAAAAGCAAATATACATTTCAAACAAGCCTCAGCAATTATGTTAATCAAGAACAATTTAATACAATGAGCTTACAAGCATATATAACTAAATAAGTCAATTCACTTAGTAGGCAGAAAATTAAATAGTGTACATTTAAAACATTTAGCATGACGTTCAATGAAAAATTATTTGTAGAATTGACTTATCATTGGTTAACTAGACCCATATAATCATTACCCATCATGAAAGGCACTATGCAATGCAGAAATGGAGAAAAGTTGTTTTTTTTTTATAAGTCTTCTGCTCACCAATGCTGCATTATGTGATAAAAATACACTAAAACTGTATTATTGTGAAAAAAAAAAAACTACAAAATGTGTTTCTAAAATAGTTATGAGCACGACTGTATGATTTCAGTGCAGGGGCAGCTCAGAGAAATAGCATAAAGTTTCCTTTAAAAATCTGGATCTAACCCTTCACAGTATTATAAGGGAAGCATTGCCTAAATGAAAGCATAAGGATGTTAAAAAAAGGCTTCTGGACACATAATCTACACAGACAGATGGGGTGTGTCCGGACGGTAACTCAAGCTCCTGCATCACATTTCATCTTGAGTTTCATCTCTACCATGAACCACGCTTGGAAAAAACAAAACAAAAAAACAAACAAACTGGCTTTGGCTATCTTAACCTCATCCTCAAGACAAGCAAGCACACAGACATCAAATGCATTTGTGTACAGTACAAATGCCGCATGCATGCAAAACGCACTTTAAAAGGAGCTTAACAGAACTTACAAAATGTATTATTGATTACAAACAACAACCAAGACAAAAAGTATTTTTCATAAGTCTGATTACCCATCTGAATGCAGGATTAGAAAGTGTGGAGAAGCTTTAAAGCCGCTTTGGGCAAACCCCAGCCGTAAGACCATTACATGACTCCAGGAATAGCCACTGAAATGTATTACAAGCCCAAATAAGCCATTAGACAAATGGAAAGAGAGCTGCCTCGTAAGCTATGCGATCACAACTTGGGACCTTGACCTAGCAAACCCAAAAAAAGCGAGTAGGCTAGTACTAACTAGAAACAAGTCAAGGTTTGCCAATATACATTACAAGCAGGGTCAGGGGAGAGGTTAAATTACAGTTTCTCTCATTCTCTTGAAGCGTCCCTCTTCACAGGTCTGTTTATTCATCGGGAGAAAGAGAACTGGCAGTGGTCAGCAGGGCCGGGATCCAGTGAAAGTTCCAGCATTCAGAGGATCATGGGCTCGTCCAAACCTGACCATCGGGGACTAAACTAGACTTACCCAGAAGTGTGGTGGTGCTCAGGACCAGATATTTGCTCACTACTCCACACATGACAGGCATGGAAGGCATGTGACCAAAAAAGGTGGTTGGGAGCTGGAGTGTGGGTTTGTGTGTATGTGGTTGGGTGAGGGCACACAGGTTGTTGTGCAGTGTCATGGCTCGGCTGGCCAGGCTGTCGTTTTGGCAGGTCCTCCCCCTCTGAGCATGGCTCTATTTATATCCCTTCAAACTCAGATTGGGTTACTTGCATCTGAAAGTGGGCAGGGGATAAGTGGTGCATCCTTATGGGTGTTATTCATGGGAGAGGGGGGGCGGGGGGGTGACGGGGGTTGCTTCTTCCCAACATTCATGTTTAGACGTCCTTGTCAGATCCTCTTCATTCTCAGGCCTTGAGGCTGGCATGATCTCTGTCAGCAGTAAAATGGTTGATCCATCATGCAGCGCTCGCTTTGATCAAACCCTGCCATTAGCATGGCAGATACACTCAAGAGGAAGCTTTGTTAATGCTCAGGCTTCAAAACAAGAGCACAAGACCAGGTGCAGTAAACGCACAGATTTATCAGATCAAACATTAATAAACAGGCACAACAGCAGGAAATGAGGGGGGTTTGTAAAGGTGGCTGGATGTGGATCGGAGGAAGGGATGGTTGAAACCGGACAATTTACTTTCATCTCCACACCAGACACTAAAATCAAGATTGCACATGAACGTCTGGCACAACTAAATGAAAGAAATTATTTTACTGCAGATGTTATGTATAGACACTGATACACTATTAATCCTGGCTGGAAGAGCTATGGATTCAGTTACTGGTTATATTACTGGGGATACTGTATTTGATACATGGCCGCCAAGGCCATGTCCACACTAATACGTTTTCGTTTGAAAACGTATATTTTTCTCTCCGTTTTGGCCTTCCGTCCACACTGAGACGCCGTTTTAAGTCAATGAAAACTTATCTTTTGTAAAACGCTCTCCAAAGTGGGTAAATTTGAAAACGCCGTTTTTGCGTTGTAGTGTGGACATTGAAACCGGAGGTAGGCTATTTCAAAACGATGACGTAAGTTTAGTCATGTGATCCATGTAGTACCAATAGAAGATATTCATGTTTATCGGTATTGTGCCTGTTATGTGCTATTCATTTTTAAACTGTTGCTAAAATGTTACATTCTATGTTACTTAATATGTGCTATTCTTCATAGCACAGTACTGCAAAGATGACAGATAATGTAGCCTACTCACATTAAAAAACAGGAGAGCAGTTGCGTTTTAGACCAAACATATGGTGACTGAATGCGACCTGTATGCATCAGTGATGGTGAGATATTTTGCTAAATAAAACTATCCTGTTAGAAGAATTGCGCGATAATTTTGTGTTGTTACAAAACAAATGCATTACAACAGAATTATGCAGGAAATGCTACAGCACACAATAAGGATTCATAAGTATCTACTGCTATAGCAACTATGCAATAAAGAGCTTAAAAGAGAAGTACAGAACATGATTTACTGCTGTAGCAAACATTTGAGAAGAACAATAATGATATTCTAATAATGATACTATTTTGTCTTAGTCTGATTAGACCTAGTGTACAAGTACATGGACATTTTTAAAAAAGGTTCAAATTGATGTCATAACATCCTCCCACCCTCATCTTGTTGAGGAACAATTATGACTTCTCCCCCCATTTTCTATACAAGACTCCATTCTAAAAATAAAGTAAACACTGTAGCGTCACCAAGCAACTCCAGTGCCGCACTGTAAACAGGGGGCTTAGCTACATTCAGTGACCTAGCTGCAAGCTCTGCATCTTCTTGGGACAAGAGATGACCCCCACACGTTTCCGCATTAGCTCTGCATGAAAACAGCCAGCTACTGATAGTGATTCTACCTAAATCACTTAACTTTCTGTTTTGACATGATGAACAATGAGCAAGTTGACAGTATTTGCCAGGCCACTGCTGGTGTTCTGAGAGCCTGAAAGCCACACTAATGCTTATAAAACTGTACAGTTGGCAGTTATGACGATATATCATGGTGGTGATGAAATAAACTGTCTATTGTTAGAGATGGTATGCAAATATGTACATGTAAAAGATACAATTCAAGTTTATTTGGACATTTTGACAATTTTTCGGCATACGTGTCCGCTCAGGCACAAATTGACGAGAAACAGAACTGAGTTTGGTGCTTGCGTGGTGTCTGCTTTGAGCGCACAGAAAACAGAGCAGGTGTTCCCAACTGATTTCTCTTTTGCATCATCTTGAGCTTAAATACTTTAAACTTGCTTTAACGTTTTAACGGACAGGACTTGAAAACATAAAAGGTCACATTTACATACTGTTTGTTCAAAAACAATTTGCAGGTGAAATCCAGTCACTGTAATAGGAATCCACGTAATCGGGAATTTCGCATGAGGGTATAAGATCAAATCTATCACAACACAACAGGATCAAGTAAGTTGATCACATGGATTTGCTATTTTGACCAAAAGAAAGCTGCTTGCAGGGTTCCCACACCTAGGTTAACTTAAATTTAAGGACGTTCCAGGTCCAATACCCTCAAATTCAAGGACTTCATGTGAGAACACAATTGTTGTGTCATACAATAAACACTGTGGGTTCCATCGTAGTTGTTTTGTACGCACATGAACGTCATGGTAACGTTGGCAACTCACGCAGAAAGACTTAAAGGGTTAGTTCACCCAAAAATGAAAATTAAGTCATTAATTACTCAACCCCATGCTGTACCAACCCCGTAAGACCTTCGTTCGTCTTCGGAACACAAATGAAGATATTTTTGATTAAATTTGAGAGCTGTATAACTACCACATTGGCCCCTAAGGGACTGCCTCTTGACGGCCCAGAAAGTCAATGAAGAAAATGTTTAAATATCCCAAAGTGACTACCGTGGCTCAACTATATGTTTATCAAGCGACGCGAATACTTTTTGTGCGAAAAAACAAACAAAAATAACGAGTTTATTCGACTATTTTTTTTCTTCCTTGTAGGCCAGAAACGAGACTTCCTTAGATTTCCACGACGCATGCGCGAGAAGTAGTGTAAGCAGATCGCAAATCTCGCGCATGCGTCGTGGAAATCTAAGGAAGTCTCGTTTCTGGCCT